CGCTGCTCTTAAACTCTCTTCGTCTCATAATTCATCTTAGGGTTTGCGGACTGTCCAGTCATATGGTAAATCACGATCATAATCCATACTACTCTAAGAGGTTCACTTGGTCTCATGCGGTCACAGACCCACTGACCAAGCTACCGACTGGCAAACCGTACAATTTCTCCGCAATACTGGACACTCTCCCTAATGACTTCTAATAATCCTCGACCCAATTTGAGAAAGTTGTGGTTTTAACGATGCGGCCGATTTTTAGTACGAAATGTTACTTTTGTCTTATTCAGCAATTTGCCTTTATAAACGGTGGCCCGATTAAGCATGGTTCATCGCACTCAGGATTACTTGTACTTGATACGTCTGTAATAATGTCTGATCTAGCCGGCCGCAATGATGTCACGAGCGGTACCTCTGCACGCGTGACGATTGGCGGTAAGGGATCTGGAAAGCTCAAACCAGCGACGGAGACCAAAAACCAAAGGTCCAAGAACTGCTTTCATGCCTTGACGAACGGTGCCAACTCTTGAGTTCCCCTCCTCTTCGGCGCCTCCAGATACCTCGTACACATTTCTACTTACGGTATTACGACACAAGCTTGGGATTAACGGTACAGCGGATATTCATCTTACCTAAAAGTAGGGTCCGTTCCATGTCGCCCCGAAGCGGCATCCTGAAACTTATAAAATATTGGAATAATACCGAAACATCGGCATATTTTTACAGGCAGATACAAAAAACCGAGTAAGTATACAGATTATGAGATTTCTCAGTTACATCCCCCGACCAAAGAAGTGTGCCTTCATTAGAACGGAACTTACCGTTAATCTTGCGTTAGCATCGAACCCAAAGGAAGAACTACCACTGAATCACCCTTTCTGCTACGAGTAAGATGCATTAGAATGGGTGGATTTACGATGGAAAGCTAGTATGCAACTAAGTACGAACCACCTCCGTGCTAGCTCCTTATCTTTTACAGTTACAGTTAAGACGTTTTTATGTTTCAATGTTTTGGCGCAAACTGCAATCAGGCAGGTTGTAAATAGCTGCATATTTTGAAAAATTAAATACAGACATCTTTTCAGCCTTCGGATAATATGGTGGGCTTTTCACCTTACTGCAGTCTTAGTAGTACCAGCCAGGGGAGCTAACCTCTACAATAAAGGGGACACACATCTCCCCGAGAAAACTGCAGAAACCATCGAAAACAGATTACCTCCTTCAGTTTACTCAAAGGGCAGCAGCCGGCGCCGTCCCCAAGTTCCCACTGCCACCACAAACTGCCCAGCACAGCGCGTCTCTGTAGCAGATCCCGAGCATGACAATAATCCATCCGCCGCTCACAGTGCATGAAGTTGGGTTGATAACCAAAAGGGCAGACAGCATACCACCAACTGGATGCCAAATATTGGCATCTGACAGGCACCCGCCTGCATGGGAGCAATCGGCGTCCATATAGGTTGTTCCGTGTTGAAACTCCGACCCCATTAATTAAGAACGTAGACCAACGATGGTTCTTTGCAGAATCAATGGTCACTTATCGGACTACTACTGACAGAGAAAAAAACGGTTGATTGCAAACCAATTCCGTGGCCGTCAATAGCTTTCGACCGATAACCCACACGCACTTGCCAGACTTCATCTCCAAAAGAACGCAACAAACTAGGCCCAATTCAGTATAGATATGAAGAAGCTTAGTGGCGTTCCGTGGTTAGTTCTCTTAAGGTATTTAAAGGTTTGATGGGAAAAGGAAACGCTTCCTGTGCCGAAAATAAACTAATCTTAGCTCCCACTAAATAAGTGCACTGAAACTTGCGATCATCTCACGGAAAGCGTACCAATGAACACGTAAGTACTTGTAAGTGAGAACCTAAACTTGTCATACGATCATGTCACGAATTTGTAGAGCCAACTGAACTAGCAAACCTGATAAGACGAATCCAGTATCCATAACCCGCAAAGATCAACACTCTTATGATATGCCTCCGAGTAACTTAAGTTTGCTGATCCAAAAGATCGGACATTCGTTTGTACTAAAACAGAATAAGTCAAACACATTGTAAGTGTAGCCTAGTCGGTTAGTGTACCATCTATTCTACTCCGTATCTTAATTAGGCTTAATTTAAGTTTCGGGCGATAAATGTCACACTTAACTTTCACCAAAGTAACAGTGGTTCCGAAGCGTATAATTAAAGGAGTTTGTCGACACTTCGGACCGTAGGTCAAAGTTACTTGGTAATAGTGATGATAATCTCTACTCTAGATGATGAGCAGTCACCGTCTTAGCACCCACCGCCCCAGTAAAATTTAAAGCAAAGGAACAAAAAACGTTATATCAGCCAAATCATCTTAGATACGAGCTTTTGACATGGCCGAAATGACAATGTAAGAAAGGGGGTGTGGTAGACATTCTATGAAATAATGAGTGCACTGCACAAACACGGTCAAGAGCGGCATCAGGGTGACAAGAGGAAGAAAGTGTAATCATGCACATGCATGACGGCAGTACGCATGCCCGGGATGGCAGCAAAAGGGATGAGAAGGCTGGAATTTTACAATTATTTTGAGTCGTGCACGCCAAAAACTGGTACAGATGTACAATTGCTCAAAAGGCGAGCATAAAGAGGTTAGGTGAAATTATAGGACTTAGTCACCAAAAACTGTGCTTTTACGGACTCGGAGGAAATGTACAGCATCAAGTAGTGGCGTATTGGCGGTGGACGCACTGACGGAAGAGATATCAGTTTTATATTGCGCAATTGTCCCGAGTGGATCAGCTTTGCGACTGCGAAGGGGGCACAGTGGGTGAAGCCGAATCTAGAGAAGCTGGCATGAAAGCTTACTGGTCATTCTTACTTTGTTTGAATGTCTCCCCGAAGTTGGTTTTCGGAATCTTTCCTCCGTGTTCTTCGACAACAGGGACTGAAAGTTGATAGATTAAAAAGTAAGGACAAAACTCACAGAAATAGGGATGTTCCATGGCCTCTCTAGCAGTTAGTCGGTCCTGGTGATCATATCGCAACAGTTTGTCCAACAAGTCGATTGCTTCAGGGCTAACGAGGTGCTGACAATCTGCGCACATAAATCTTTCCCAACGCTTCCTGCAGTGACGGCCGAGAATATCGTTGAATCTGGGGTCCAGGTGTATGCCATACTTGTTGATATACTCAAAGAGTTCATCTGTCCCAAGGACCTTTGCAATACGAACCAACTGATCATAGTTGTCGTGGCCATGGAAGAATGGTTCCTTCTTAAATATCATGCTTGCAAACATACAACCCAGGGACCAGAGATCCAATGAGTAATCGTAAGTCTGAATGAGGTAGATCACGAAAGTGGACCTTACCTGGTAGTCCAGCAAAAGTTCCGGGCCTTTAAAGTACCGCGATGCGACGCGGACATTATATTCTTGTCCAGGGTGGTAAAATTCGGCGAGACCCCAGTCTATTAGTCTAAGCTGTTGCGAGCATTAGCTTAGCATATGAAATACCTTCCGCATTGAATGATCAATCATTACGTTATGTGGTTTTACGTCTCGATGCATAATGCCCATACTATGACATGCATCCAGAGCGCGCAAAAGCTCAAACATATAGAAACGGATATCATAGTCTGTTAAAGTCTGGTAGAGTTCTTTGAAGTCCTTGTTGTCGACATATTCAAAGATCAAGGCTGGTGTACGGGACTGAAGTTAAGCAGTTCGATGTACATTCTAGAGCAGTAACATACCACGGGGTCTTTAACAACCGCTTGAAGTGTAATTATGTTCTCAATTCCGCGCAGATTTTCCAAAATTTTGATTTCTCTCTTAATTTTCTTCTTCTTCACGGGTTTCAACACTTTTATGACGCAATTCGTGTTATTTGTTATGTTGATTCCCTGGAAAACTTCACTGTATTTTCCGCGACCAAGCTTTCGGACGATCTGGTAGTCTTCCTGGTCGCTAAAAGGCACGGGTTAGGCTTTTCCAAAATGCTTACCCCCAGTTGACAGTGTAGTTTTCATAGTCCCAATATTCTTGCGGTCGATTCAAATTCACGTCCGCATAGACCCGAGCTTTACTCGGAACAGGCATGACTGAAAAGAGACTACACTTCAGTAGTTGGCAGAAAAAAAAGTTGTTTGAGAGGGTGAAAACCGAAATAGGAAAAACAAATTATTTTTGAGCCGTTAAGTTTCTATAGGAGTAGAATATCTAGGCAGGTGCGTTAACACTGCGAATGATCGATTTAACTAGTTGGGGTATCCCACTTTCATCACAAAAGTAACGCTAGTGCTCCAGTAATGGGTTGAACAAATCACACTAATGTAAACTGCGTAATAATTTGGGCTAAATAAACATCCCTGACATTAAAAATCACCTACACCAATACGTGTTGAAAAATAATTTACTGGGTAAGGAACGTCTTGGAATCTACCGAGCAATCAAAAATTTTCGAAGGTTGAAGCCATACGAAATACCGGCCATAGTTACAACTGAAAATCTGACAGCCCCCCACTTTCTAAAAGGATTTAATTGCAGGTAAGCCAGGTGTCGAAGAACAAAGAAACAAGACACAGCGAAGAATTTACGGAATCCACAAAAGTAGCAACCTTCAAGAAGCTATTTCTTTTAGTTTTCATGGGAAAAACATAAATAATTGATTTAGGCGGACCAACGCATTCGATTAAGCAGAGACTTGGAAAATTTAGGAGACCTGCGTATACTGCCCTGTTCTGTGTAGGCTGATGCCAAGCTAGCATATTCTACGTGGGATGTTTGGTGGTATGTGTTATTGGAGGCCCAAAAATGATTATTATGAAGAGGTAGAGTTTGGCATCACAAATCCTGAGCGAAAGCGAAGGATACAGTTAGTTAACCAATATACCTTACAGGTAAAGGGCTTCAACGGTAAAACGTTAATTTCGGTGAAAATGGATTTTATGTGGATTGCATACGTCAGAAAGGGTTTAGCCCGAGAGAAAGACAGCATCAATGCTATCTTCTAAGACAAAAACACTAGAAATATCTACATTAATCGTGTGATGTTGAGCACGGAACCGATATCACCGCTCAAGTGAACCAAGGAGAAAAGAACAATGCAGCCTGTTCATGAAGACCGGATGTTGACGTAAGTGGCAATCGCTGATGCTTAAATGCGGCCCCAGCAACTGCTGGAGGGTTTCGACTTAATCAATTAAACGTCACACCCGGCTTTTGTTTGATACCTTTATCAAAAAAATTCCTATCAGGTGACGTAAGAAGAAAGACTAAGATACCGCCTTTAAATATGCACGTACCAATTATCAGCTGATTTCTATTCCCAAAATAAGCTCACAAATCGCAAACACGCTTAGACTAATTAGTTCTTAAATTACGTGCCTGTTTAAGGTATTCAACACGAACCCTACTACCTCGGAGACGACAGGCCAAACGCTGATTTTTACAACTACGCCTTCAATACCTAACAGGTATCTGGAAAATTGTGATTCTGCCTAGCAGTAACCACAGGCTGGAGTCAACGCTGCTCAAAACATTTACTGTGTCAACAAAGTCGCCGCGAAGTCGATATTTTGAGAACCAATCTCGTTCGTAAACCGAAGTATCAGTGCCTCGTCTCAGGTAGTTCTATATTTATATATAGAAACTGGTAGTGCGAAACATGCAATAAAATTATCAATGTAAAGACGGGTATCAAAGCCTAGAGTCGAATTCCTGGGTGATTGGCTGGGCAAATTATGGTCCAGAGAGTCGGATGGCGTGCAAAGTGCCCCGAGTGACTGCGGGCATATACCGAATGAAACCGAAGGACGTCGTCTGTTATAAGTGTCACCACTAACCTAAAATAGTTTTCGTGGTTAACGCGACGATCTTGGATTTCAACCAAACTGATTTGGTACTTCTATGAATAGTATGCGTCCTAACTTGACCTTTTACATGTTGACACTACATGAACTATATAACTTCGCGGTCACAAGTTCGGGTCTGGCAAACCAGTACGCTTTGAAGAAAACATTCCCGTCCAATTTTTAGTCATGGTATTTGGCACTATAGGATACTTTTACGTGCGGTTAACTAAGGCTAGAACCACTTGATATCAATTTGCGTTAAGCGCGACATAAAATTGCCGTCTGGTGGTCCAGTCTAATGCATACCATA